GCAGACGCTGGAGGTGGGGCTCAATAATAGCATGAAGCTCCGCAAACTGATCAGGGAAAAAGTTGATAGCAACCTGGGGCGGCTCAGACTCACTGTTCACAAGGTCAATGTGGCAGATCTGAACTGGGTCTTCAGCCGAACGAAGGATATACACATCTCCGCCAAGACCATTGGACCCCATTTCCTTGCCAACCTGAGCGGCGGTTCGGTGGTAGTTGGTGCGACATGCCCCCCCAACCCATCATCCAACACTCCCAACCCCCTCACTGTAGGCAGGCGATCGAAGGTCGCAGCTGCGCGGCAGTGCGAGAGATTGGAGGTACAAGTGCACACATAGAGGTGGGGAGCTGTAGACGGCCAAGCGAGTGCGCACGACCCTGCTCCCGTGTGCCTGAGTGGCTGCTTGCCCGCTACGTAGCGTTTTCGGTTGCTGCCCCGGCCGCCCTGGCCCTTGCCAGGACGGCCTGCGCTGAATCCCTGCATATCACCCCGCCCATCCCGCCGCCACAGGAGTGGGGGTGATGAAGCGGGGGGTCAGGGCACGAGAAGGAAGCCGGGAGGTAGGGGAGGTTTGAGGCTGGTGGAGGCCATGTCTCAACATGCACGTCGGTTGCGGCAGCATAGCTTGTGGGTGAGAACGCCCCTGAAAGACCCACTGATAGCATAGCTTCTTCTTTTGCCGTTGACGTATGCCGAGACTTTGTGGGTGAGAATGCCCCTCGGGGACCGAGTTGGCCCCGTCCGTCGGAGGTGGGCCTGGAGATGGTACGTCCAGCTGTGCTGCTACCGATCGTATCGGTGAGTGCGTACTGTTTGGTCAAAGAAAATTGCCGAGGTGAGGTGTCGGAAGGTAGCAGCCGCCGTGAGGCATCCTGTCTGTCATAAAGCAGAACGCAATATATCGTGCAGACTGGTGAGGTCAGCACACTGACGGGCCGCTGTCAGGCCAGTCCCGTCGGGAGGCGTTCGCGTCCTGATTTGCCGTAGGTACGTCAGGCTGCTGGTCCTCGCGGTACTGCTTGTAATTAATGTTCTAAGGTGGCCAGGGGGCGGAGGCCTCGTTTGGGTTGGCATCCTTGTGTGCCATCGCTGTGGGTCTTATTACTTTCGTTCTGGCGCTTTGCGGGCATGCTTGTCGTCGTCTGGTAGTCGCTTGTGGTCGTAGGCCTACACATGTCGGTGCCTTCCGTGAGGCTCTCTGTCGGCTTGATCTGCTTGATGGCGTCGGTTGGGTCCGAGCTGCCGTCGTGGGTTGGTCGATGATGCTCAATGTGATAAGGTCGGCTGACGGTTTGGTCATTGCTTGTTGGTTGTTGGGCTGCTTCTACAAATCTGGATGCTCTGTCATTGGTGCCCACATGTTGCGTCTTAATGACTCCTGAATCTGGTTAGGCTCGTCTGGCTATGTCGGTTGCACCAGGCTTGGCGGGTCCGTCGGCTGCTTTGCTTCTGGTGACTCGGCTTGTCGGCTGGGTGGTGTTTTCAACGGTTTGGGTTAGCCAAAATCGGTTGGTCATGCTGGTGTGTCGGTTCTTGTTGCTCTCTGATGCCGTGATTCGCTGAGTCGTCTGGTCGAGGATCCTTTGCGTTGATGAGCTCGGTTGTCTTATGCATCGCTGCTGTCACGGTTATGCTCAGGAGCCGCGGGTATGGAAAGGGCGTTGGCATGGAGGTCGGGTTGTAGAGGATGGCCAGCTTGATAGACATGCACATGCTCTGTCGTTGTGTATCCATGGCGCTTGGCGTCGGTAAATCGTCCGAGTTGTCACGGATCTTGCCGATCAGCATCACTGCTAGCTGGTGGTTGGCGAACTGGGCCTCCTCGTCGTCCTCCTCATCCTCCTTTTCCTCCTCCTCCTCCTCCTCCTCCTCCTCCTCCTCCTCCCTCTCCCCCTTGGAAAAAAACAACATCTTCATATCTCTGTCGAAGCTCCGTGCGGAGGAGGAGCAGGTTATGTAGGTCGCCTGGCCTCGCGCATCGCGCCCCACGATGCGCGATGATCTTCGCCCTCGCGCCCTCGCGCCGCCCCCCTCTGGAGAAGGGCAACCGCTCTGGCCCAGGCACGGCCCGCGAAGAGAGACTACCTTCGCGCCCCCGCGGGTGACCAAGGCAATCGAAGAACAACGACGTGAATAACACTTTCGGAGGTCCGTGCGGGCCTCTTGTATCGCCGCTGGGGCCCCCTGACGGCGCCTCTGGCGCGCTCCGCGGGCCTGGAAAGGGGGTCCAGGGCCGATTCAGGAATTCCGCGTGAACTTCCGAATGATTTTGCTCATTATGTTGAATGGGGAAAACCCAATGAACAAAAATCCCTGGAGCCCCCACTCTGGACAACCCTTCTACCGCTGATACCATGGCGACAAGACGACCTACCCCAGACAGCCCATTGGTCAACCCAGGGGGAATCTGGACAAGCCCTTCTGGACAAGCCTCCCCGGGATGATTCGTCTTCCATAAGATCTGCTCATGTGATGTCTTCCTCGTGAGGAGCAGGTGAGACAGGCAAGCCCCAGGCTGCCTGCGGACCTCAGGCACAAGCGTCACGGAGGAGGCGAGCGCACAGGGTGAAGGAGGGGAGGAGGAGCCTTCGGAGAAGATCGCGCCCCACACCCCACACCTATGCAAATCGGAGAAGTGGGGAGTTCTTGACAGATCATACGCGTAACCACGGCGACCGCGACATTTGGAGAAGAGCGCGCCCCACCCCACACCTGTGCACATCGGAAAAAAGGTTCTGGACAGGTCGTACGTAACGACGGCGACGGCGACCTCCAGAGAAAAGCGCGCCCCCCCCAGACTCTGTGGGCTTGTATTCCGAGTTCCATGACTTACAATCGCTCGGACGCCCCTTCCCTGTGCATTGTTCGATGTCGTGCACGTATTGTTCCAGGATGCTCATCGATGGCCCTCGCCGAGGAAAAGATGCACACGTCAGAAAAAGAGTCTCTCCAAAGGGGCAACGGAAAGAAACGGCAACGGGAAACGGCTAACAAAAACTCCTCTGAGATTGGAGCTGGAGCCAGAACCAGGAAAAACCAAATACGGCGACAAATCCAGTCAACCACGGCGACGGCACCGGCAACAAACAGTGCAGAACGGAACCAGCAACAAAGACGGTACTTGTCTTTTTCAGGGCCCACGAAGTGCCCCGCTGGTAGCCGCGTGGCACCAGAAACAGAGCTGCGGTTCGTCATGGCGGCGCGCAGGGGAGGGAACCTTCCATAGAGGGCCAACAATCCAACCCCATAGTAACCACCCCGACAAGGGAGGCAGATTAGCAATCGCACGCAAGGAAAGAATCGAACAGGGCAGGGCTGTTTAGTAAACGCCCAGGGCCGTTCAGTGAACGCCACTTTTCGGGGTCTGGGTGGTCTTCCCTCCCTTGTTCCTGGGGCCTCTCAAGAGGCCCTTCCGCGTCGGGGAACTGCTGCTCGGCGCGTCCCGGCGGCGGCCGCTGCGGCACGCCATGCCCTGCAAGCTGGCGGCGCGTTGCCCTGCTTCGTGGGGCGGCGCAGGCTGGGCAAGGCTGGAAGTTTGAGCGCTGCGGGATTGGGACGGGCCCAACGTGTGGCGCCCAAGCGCGATGGACAAGGGCCAGCGGCGCGACAAGCTACGCATACGTTCCTGAGGCAGCACACGCCTTCCACGAAACGCCCTGCCTTCCTGAAGCAAGCGCGTGCGAACAGAGATGCTGCTACAAGATATCAGGGGACCCATCTTTCGTCGATGCTGTGCCATAATGTGCCCCAGGGCGTTGCGGACACATCAGGAGGGAAGAAACGTTCGTGGGGCAGCCGCGGGCAGGCTAGCTTCTTGTCTGGCGCGCCCGCTGTAGAAGGCCTCCAACCCACGCGCTACAACCACCTCTACGCGCCTCTGACCCCTCCTCCACCTCACCATGGAGGATGAGGAAGAGGAGTTCTGGACAGGTCGTGCATACGCGCGACCACAGCGACCTTCGAGGCAGAGCGCGCCCACACCCCACACCTATACACATCAAAGGAGGAGGAGTTCTGGACAGACCATACGTGATCGCGGCGACGGCGATCTTCGGAGAAGAGAGCGCCCCCCACACCTGTGCATCTACATTCCGAGTTCCATGATGGGTGTCGTTGGAAGGGCATCACCCCGCCTACAGCCCCACGCGGACTTCCCGCCGCGGACAGTCCCAAAACTAGAACAGAACAATACAAGCACTCAAACTGGCAATGTCTCGGAAACCGCCCAAGCCAGAATGTACGTACCAACAGATACCTGGCAACCTCTCATGAGCCCCAAACGAAAATCACAACAAAAAAAAAAACATAACCACCTGAAACCGGCAGTGTTTCGTGAGCCCGCAGACCAATTAAACCATACAGCGCCTGCACATGGTAGCGTTTCGTGAGCCCCAGACTCAGAGCCCCCCCTACAGAAAGATAAACACAATATCCCGGCAGCGTTTCGCGGTCGCCTATGCTGTCATTTCTATCTCCCATCGCGGAGAGCGAAGATCCCCAAGAGCGATTGGGACACGATGAGGCTTCTGTGCGACCCAGAGACACTAAGATGACGAATGCGATGACGAACCAACACCTCCAACTGTTACGATCTACATTAACTCCTGATGTGATGTTTCTCACCTCGACTCCTCGAGCCGGAGGCTATCGAACACAACATGTCATGCTATGCTCGCCTACGCCTTGCCTATCGAACACCAACACGCCCCCTCGGCAAACAGTAGCTTGCGGAGGTCATGCCGAAGTGTTTTCCACCTCGTCTGAAACTCGCCGCCTGTACGCCAGCTTCCGCGCCGCTTCCGCGCGGCGACCTGGCTCGACCGCCCAATCTGGCGTCCGACCGCCAGGTGGGTTCACTCTTGCCGTGGCCGCTCAAGCCTTCACCTGTCTTTCCGATCGGGCCTCTCGTCTTGACTGCAGCAGCCCTCGCATGCGGTAGGAGTCAGAATGCAACGGGGCTGCTGTCGGCCTCTGGCGCACGTCGTCATCGATTGTGTAGCCACGGTCCGCCTCGTGCCCTTCAGCTTGGGCTTCTTCGTCCGCACCTCCCCGACGGCCTCAAGGGAAGCGCCGCGGAACCCCGTGAGCTTCTTCGCCGCGTAGTGGTGCATTACGCAGCCAACCACTAGACTGATCATCATGATCATGAGCAGCATGGCCCAACTCATCTGTGATGTCGTGCATGGTGTCACCGTCGTCGGACTCGCCACCTCGTAGCTGTCCATCACTGCTACATGGTTCTCCGCCTTCGTCGTGCTGAGCATCACCGCTGCCACCAACAACGCTCTCGGTCCTTTGTTTCTGCCTGCCCACTGGCCGCTGTCGCCACTGAGCGCCTCACGCTTGCTGGTCTCGAGCTCGTCTCCGTTGCCGAATCCCATGCCAAGCCTCGCTCTCCACTCCACGAACTTCGTGGCCTGCAGTGACTTGGCGTAGCCGTCTGCCGTGTTGGTAGCAGTCGGCTCTTTGTGAACTTTGAGCTTCTTCTCGTCGTACTTCGCTTGCAGCCACAGCAGCCTCGTCTCTATGTGCTTGAGCGCTCCACACCCAGTCCTTGATATAATGCCTCGAGCCGCCGTCGAGTCCAGCCTGAGCTTGAGCTCCAATAGGAACCCTATAAGCTCCATCAGCTTCTGCATGTGGAGGTCCTCCGCCACCGTGGTGACTGCCGCGTAGCACTCGCTCTCTCCTGAGGAGAGTGCCTGGCAATTCTGGCCCTTCGTGAACTCCCTGGGGTTCGTCGTGCCGAACTTCAGCGCGCAGCCTGATGTGCTCTTCCTGTCGTTAACGTCTCCTGCCCAGTCTGCATCTGAGTAGGCGTCCAGGTACTCGGTGTTGTCGCTCTTCGTGACCAAGATCCCGTAGTCTGCCGTGCCCTTCAAGTACCTTGCCAACCATCTGAGCCTCTGTATGTCTGGGTCCCTCGGTGCGCTGAGTGACTCGCTCAGCTCGTGAACTGCGTACGGGATGTCTGGCCTGTACTCCAGGGGATGCCTGAGGATCCCGACGCACTTATTGTACGACTCTTGTCGACTGGGCTCACGACTGGCAACTCCAGGTCCTCTCTCTTCCGCGCGTTGACCATCGGTGTCGGCACGTCCTTGCAGTCAGTCAACCCGAGCTCGCTCAAGATGTATTCGATGTACTTTGGCCTCGGCGCTATGTGGATCGTGTGCTTATCGACTCCGGTGCGCGTCGCTCTGAGATATGAGTACACTGATCCAACCTTCATGAGATTCGCCTCTTTGAGCTTGAGTACTGGCGCTAAGTTCTCCTTCAGCCACTTCAACTCCGTGTCGCTCCCTGACGAGTAGATGTCGTCCTGATGCACCTCGAACACCAGTGTTGAGCCTGGCCTTCTGAAGGTGCTGGGCTGCTCGGGGCACTGATCGATCCCGAGCATCTTGGTCTGGTCCGTCACGTACTGGTTGAACTTCTTGGAGGCCTTGCGCTTCCCGTAAAGCTGCTTCTTCATCTTCCACCACGGCCTCCCGATCTTGCCGCCGCGAGCGTGGTTCCGCTTGACCCACTCAACTGGCGGATCTACGTACACCTCCTCGTCCTCGTCGGCGTGGAAGTACGCGTTCTGGGCGTCCAGGACCATCGTGTTGTAACCGTGCTGCACCGCGTGCTGGTCTATGAGCCTTCCAGTGCTGCTGGTAGCTCCTGCCTTGAACAGCCCTTCGAGGTCAGGATCGTCGCTCTTGAATTCTCTCGCAACGCATCTGCATCTCCACTCGTCTGGGCCTCTTGGTACGTTTTCCCATCTCGTGGACAGAAGATCTGCGTTATCAGGGATCTTATCAACAACGTCGAAGATGTCGAACTCCTCCATCGCATTCATCTTCTCCTTTCCTTTGAGAATGGCCTTCACGATATCAGGGTCGGCGCCCTGGTACTCGTCCCTGTTCTCTTGCAAGTAGGCGTCGTCGTCGAAGTCCGCCTGGTGCTCTTCCGCGTCCATCGTGACCAGCTCGTCCACCCTCGCCTTCTTCTCGGTCGGCGTCCTGATGCCTAGCGATTCCTCCACGTCTCGCTTAACAGGCGATGGTGGTGGTCTCTGTCTTGACGGAGCAGGCCCTAGTGACTGAGCTTTGTCTTGGCGTCGCTGTGCGTTCGCATCCACGCTTGCTGCACCGTCGCCCCCAGCTGGAGCTGCACCGTCGCCCCCAGCTGGAGCTGCTCTCTGACTTGGGGCTGCCGCTGCTGCAGCACCACCTTGTGGCTCCGGGTGCACCTGAGCTCTCGGCTCGGACGCCCCTGCGGCCGCGGGCGGCCCTGGCGCCACAAGTGGCACAGCCTGCGGCGCCTTGGGTCTCTTTCTCGGTTTTCCCATCGGTCTGCCTGCGAACCTATCCCACGGCGTGCCCTTGATGGCCTTGATGAGGTCCGCTCGGTTCTGCTCTAAGACTGGCACCCTCTTGACCGTCCTGGCGGTGAACACGCCCTCGCTGGTCCCGAACAGGTGCTCGTCCGACTCGATCGTCTTGCCCAACCAGATCCCTCTCTCGAACCTGGCGTCAACGCGTCCTTGTCTAACTCCACCTCGTAGTTTGCCCGTCGCCGTGACCGATAACTTGAAGAGCGCCGCTTCTCCGAACTTCAGAACTTCTCCCTGGTACGCTTTGCCGTAGCTGTCCTCGTGCGCTGTTCTGTGGTTCGCCTTCGCGTGATACCGCTCGAGCACCCAGCCAGCGTGCCCCACCATCCAGGGCCAAATGTCCATGGGGGGGGGTCGATCTGCATGCCTAACCGCGCTTCCATGTCCAGCCTCATCGTCCTTATCTGGCCCTCAGCCGATTGCCGAGCTCTGCCCACAGCTCCCACGCTTTGGCTGCTGAGCCTCGGCGTCTTCTTGATCTCGAGCTTGATCCCGTCGGTCAGGCACTTCTGCCTTACCTTCTCTGCGATCACTCCCAGCGCTTGCTCAGGGTCTACCTTGAGTATCGCCTTCGGGTAGGCCACCCGCTTGACGAAGGACGTGCAGGTTGATGAGATGTAGTTCGTCTCGGCAGACTTCGTCGGGACTGCTATTACCATGGGGTTCTGCGCTGCCGTATCCACCAATGCCGGCGTCGTCGCCCAGGCCTGGTCTCCAGGGTTGTGCCTCCCCTTCGGGTCCTGCACCAGGTTGCAGAAGTCCATCTCGAACTCTGGTAGCTTCTTCGTCTCCTCTGGCCTCTGCTCGCGCGGCTTGGCCCTGCCCTTGCCCATGGCGCACCACGCGCACCGCGGCTGATAAGGCAGGGGCGTGACCTCGTGTCGTGCTCGCTCTTCTGGTGTCGGTTCAGCTGGAGCTCGTGGCACGATAACTTCGCCATGGCCTCCAGCTTTCTGCCAGCTCCCTCGCGCGCTCCTCGAGCCACTTCTCATCCCTGATCTGCAGCTCGAGCTTCGCCTCCGCGTGTACCAAGCGCCCCCCGCAGCTGCTGCTTGGCACGCCAGATCGGGGCCTTGAGCTCCTTCAGCCTCCTCCGCATGTCTGCCACCGAGCTGCCGCTGAAGAGCCCGCCTTGACCGACTGGCTCACCGCGCTGTCGAACCTCGAGCCATTGTTGGGCTAGCTGTTCTGCAACTCGTTCCATTCGAGCGCTTTCTGATGCACCTGGGTCTGGCGCTTGAGGTGCCCCTGCGACTGCCACAGGCTGTGGCGCCGCTGCTGCCGCTGAGCTCGAAGCCGCTGCTGGACTTGATGTTGCCGCGCTCCCTGGCGCCAACTGCGTCGCCTCGTCCCCGGCTGGCGCGATCATCACCGTCGGCTTGCTGGGCGATAGCTTCCTCTTTATTCGTAGTCCAAACGTACGTCCCTTCATGTGCACTGGAACCTTCGCTCGTCCTCGGTCGGTGTCGATCTCCATCCACGGGCCATCTTTCTTGAAGTACATGTCGATGCCGTGCCTCGCGAGCTTGCCGACGCTCAGGAGCGCTCTCTTCACATCGCTCTGCACGAACGGCGTCTTGGCGTCGATGATCGCGTTGATGTCCAGCACCGCATACTCGACAATGATATTTCGGCCTGACGGGATCTTGTCTCCGTTCGCGCCTCGAAGCCGAACTCCACCAGGTCCGACATCGACTCCATCTTCGGCGAAGTCCCACGGGCAGGTGTGCTCCTCGCAAGCGCTGTCCAAGGGAAGAAACTCGTCACCTGCCTGGTCAAGGCCTTCTCTCCACACATTGAACACCCACTTGTCGCCATCGTCGCTCTGGTCGCCGTCCTCTTGGTCGTCGTGGCTCTGAACCTCTGGCGACTCGACCTCGTCGTCATTGATGGTCTCGACCTGGCCCTCGTGCTCATGCGCGTGGCTATCCTCGCACTCGTGGGCTTCGATCTCCCAGGGGTGCACCTCTGGACCCTCGTCGTGCTCGCCTGTGTCCTCGTGCTGGTCCTCTACGTCGTTGTAGTCGTCCCAGTGCTCGCACAGCGTGCACCCGTACTCGTTGTCGTTGTCCGCTTTCACCTCCTCGATGACCGCCGTCGCTGGCTTCTCTTCGACTGGTCGAACCTGTTTGGCTGGTGGCTCTCCTCAGTGTCGAGATTTGCATTCGGTCCACTTGTGTCCTTTCTTGCCGCAATGCTTGCAATCGCCCACGAACCTGGTCTTGGGTCCTGCTGCTGCTCCACCTCGGCCTTTACCTTTTGAGCCGTCGCCTTTGCCTTTACCCTTCAATCTGCAGTTCTCAGCTCTGTGTCCAGGCCGTCCGCAGATGAAGCAACCACCTTTGCCGTTGCCACTGCCGCCTTTGCCGCGATCCTTTCCGCCACCTTTCCAGCTGTTGTAAGCTGCGTCGACGTCCATCGGTGCAGGTCCCATCTGGTTATCGACTCCGACACTCCTGCCGTTCTTGTTGAAGGTCCTGCCGGACTGGAGGTACTCTCGGGTGCTCTGCTGCACTTCTTTACAGCGTCCGGTCGCTGGCCCTGTGACCAGTCTCACCATTGCTCGAAATGATTTTGGAGCATGGCTTGCCAACACTGCGATTTTCATCGCGTCGCTGACCGTCTCGGTGCGTTCCGTCTCGTACTCTGTGATGCGGGTTTCCCATTCCGTCAAGTCGTTCGTGAACTCCTGGCGTGTCGCTTTATGGTCCCAGCCTGGCTGCAACATCCCCATCAGCAGTGCGGTGTGTCTCCCTCCGACGTCTGGCGCGTACTTAGCTTTGATCCTCTTCCACGCGATGATGCCATTATGCTTCTCCGCGCCTCTCACCAACGTCAGTGCCTTGCCCCTGACTGTGTTGACCAGCAGGAAGTAGAGCTGCTTGGCCCTCTGCTGCTGTTCTGGACTGAACACACTGAACTTCAGGTCCGTCAGGTCTCTCGATGCTGCGTCGAGGGTGTCCCCTGGATCTGCCATTCCGCACACGCTCTCGATGATGAAGGACCACTCCTGCCAGGCTTCGTCTCTGCCGTTGAAGATCGGCCACTTGTTCAGCACTCGCGGGTCGATGTGCTGCTCCTGCCCGCCGTCGATCCGAGTTCCTCTCTGCGGTCCAGCTCCTGCGCCGCCCGCCGTGTGCTCTGCTGCGAGCCGTGCTGCTCGCTCTCCGTTGAGCTGCTGGCGCACCTCCTGGAATGCCTGGGCCAGCTGCTCGAGCGTCGCCATTCCGTCCGTGGATCGAAATCTAGCTCCGCGTAACCATGTTACGATCTACATTAACTCCTGATGTGATGCTTCTCGCCTCAACTCCTCGAGCCGAAAGCTATCGAACACAACATGTCATGCAATGCTCGCCTACGCCTTGCCTATAAAACACCAGCACCAACACGTCATAGAACAACACATCACTGCTTTTCTAGGTGAACCCGAGAAGCGGGCCGGCCCACTTATTCCCTCTATCTCCCAAAGGCCCCTCATGGCGAAGGGAGGAAGAGGATGTCCAAGATAAAACAAGGGTGCATGACGATGCTGCAAGAGTTAAACGCGCCCGCTCAAAGTCCCACCGCATTGATCTCTACAAACATTCTTCTCCACTGCGGGAAGCACCCACTTCAAAAAGACAATCGCCCCACCGGCCTACCATTCAGACGAGAGCCCCATTTTGATAAGACGCTGCCCTGACGATTCCGATCGGACAAGAACGTTATAAGGAAAGTCAAACAAGAGCTCCGGTTTGAACCGATTTGATGACGGGTAGCCCTCCACTCCTTTGTCGGCTGTGTAACATTGCACGTCAGGCCGTGAATCCTGAAGACGTCTCAAGCAAGCCCCCGTTTGAACATGAACCAGCCTTCATCCTTGTGGCTGCTGCGCAGTGTTTCACGTCGGCTTTTAGGACGACTCTGCGTGGCGCAGAGGCAAGAGCTGCATGTTGAGAAGGAGCTGGCGCCCACACCTGTTAGAAGCCGTGTCTGATGCGACGAGTGTGCGCGGCGCCGGAGCGAGAGCCACATGTTGAAAACGAGTCCTTCTACAGTCGGGACGTTGACCTAAGGAACCCTACACAAGGAACGAGGCCCCTTTGTCCCATCAGTGAAAGTTCGATTTCCAATCGAAAACCTAAGGAAAAACTCAGGCAAGCTGTGAAACAATCAAGGAACACGGAGCCCCTCCCCAACGAAAAGGGTTCCTTCTTCAGCGCCCCGACTGTACATCCTTATGGCGGTTGAAAGCTTTTGAAAGGAATGCGCGCGGGGCCGAGGCGAGAGAGCCACATCTTTTGACCTCGATCCGCCTTCCACCTGAGTAGCTGTGCGCTTCTTTCTTTGGCGATGGGATCCTTCGTGGTGGGGGGGGACACCAGCGATAGACCTATAGACTGTTCTACCAACGTGTCTGGCGACGCGAAGAGAAACTGCGAAAAAATCAGAACAGTATACGGCAGGTTCGTGTCGTGTCGACCGGCGGCGACCCCGCCAGCGGCGTTCAACGTTGAACGCCGCGGGCGACCCAAAACCGTTCGATGTGCAACGATTTGGACGTTTCGGAAACAGCCGATCGTTCGAATTTGAACGATCCCCGCGGTGTCAGGAACCAACGCCGGAGTCGACACGACGCGAACCTGTCCCACTACAGGCGGATTTTGTAAGCAAAAAACAACAATACCCCAAACTGCCCCCAAATGGCCAAACATATTAGAAACACCGTCCCCATACTATTTTTCCCTACCTAGGCTCTGCCTAGAAGGGTTCTTACTCTCTAGCTTAAAGGGGCCGGGCAGTGGAAAGCGCCCCGGGCGGTTCCCCCAGTCCCCGCCCCGCGGTTCCCCCCAGTCCCCTGGGAGCTTTAGCTTTAGCTTTAGCTTAGCTTCAGCTTAGCTTTAGCTTAGCGTTTCGCTTAGCTTTTCGCTTAGCGTTTAGCTTGAGCTTTAGCTTAGCTTGAGCTTAGCTGTAGCTTAGATTTAGCTTAGCTTTAGCTTAGCTTTAGCTTAGCTGTAGCTTAGCTTGAGCTTAGCTGTAGCTTAGCTGTTGCTCAGCTTCAGCTTAGCTTTAGCTTAGCTTTAGCTTAGCTTTAGCTTAGCTTTAGCTTAGCTTTAGCTTAGCGTTACTGATACTACTAATGCTGCTTTCCTAGGGGTTCCAACTCCTAGGTAGGGTCGCACTGGGATGCTTTAACTATTTTTGAATATTCCTCCTGTAAAGGGACAGGCACGACCAAATCGTAGAGGAGGAGGAGGACATGCAAGGAGCAGGGGGAGAACCAGGAGGAGCGCACCCCGTGCGACCAGCCCCCGCCTCTGGGCGTCGGCTGCACGGAAGACGTGCCCCTAGGTTTATGTTGTCCCCATCGCACGTCAGGAGCGCATGCAAGAAAGCATTTCGAGCACTCAGCAAAGGATCGAAACAGCGTCGAGCGAGTATCGCCTCCCAGGGCTCGACACACACGCGAAAACCTGCAAGTGTGGGCACTCTCTTGGTGCTCGAAGTTCTCTCTGGCCGTCAAGGCTGCAGTAGGTTGGAGCATCATAAGCGCAAGGAGGGAGTGACCTGTGGTACGAGGCTTTCGGGGGCCGCGGGAGCGCGACATATAGGTGCGCAGGCAAGTGCTTGGGAAACCCTGTGGGCCCGCACCAGAGGTCACTCCAGCGAAGGGTCACCCCTCAAGTGTGGTCGAGAGACGTGGGGAAATCCAATAGGTACCGACACCGCTACTCCCCGGACCTTTCTCCCAGGGTGCGGTCTGACCAGGACTTCGGAGCGAATCCAGCGGTGGCGACGAGGGCCTCCCAGGCGGCCCTACAAAAGAACAAAAACGGGCGCAGGGTAGTGGTAGGGGTACCATTTCTTCCTTTGTGGTCGGGGGGAGCATCACTTCGGGGGCGGCCAAGAGGGGGGTGTCCAAGAGGGGGGGGGGCGCACATCATGGCCGTCGGCATGTGAGCGGCCCAAGTGGGGGGGGCCAGGGACGTAATGAAATAAGAAGAGGCGCCATGAAATCTGGGAAAATCTCATGGCCCACGCCATGATCTCCACCCCCCCCCCTAGTCATCACCCCCCTCTTTGCCACCGCCAATTTTTGCCACAAACGACATCGCCGCTAGGTCCTCGCCGCAGCCGGGCTGCCCTCGTCGCCGTGACCGTCGCCGCTGCGCAACAACTGCTCCCCAGCGCCGCGCGCGTCGACGCTCCGGCGCGCCCACCCACCCGCGACCAGCATGCTGGCCGCGATGGCGCCAAAGCAGGCGAGCACGACCCAGATCAGGGCGCGAGGCCCGCTGCTCTTCATCGCTGCGCCGATGGTCCGAGGCCGGGGCTTGCCCACACACCTCTGCCACTCCGGGGGCCGCTGTCCCCGTGCCACGGGAGGCGGTGAATAAGGATGCCTTTGGGCAGGGTGCCCAACGATACCCATGTCCGCTGCCTCCCGAGGTCCTGGGATGTCGGTTTCCACAGGCACGGATCTGAACAAGTCCTCGCCTCGGAGATGACGAAGGGCATGAAGTTCGCGCCGCAGTTCGTGCCCAGCGTGACTAGCGACACCTGCCGCCCACTTGGCGACGCGTGCTGGTTGAGCAGGGTTTGGAAGTAAGTCACCGTAGGCGCTCCCACCAACCCGCACAACATAACGGCTGCGAAGGAAGCTTCCATCGACCAAGCTAAGGGAAGCCAGATGGTAGCCCCAATGGCCATCAACGCTGTCTGCACCAGGGCGAGATCCCAGATTCTGAAGTGCTGTTGCCACTGGGCTGCGAGGAGGTTGCCGAGCGTACCGCAACCTTGGAAGGTCGTCACTAGCAGCAGCGGTGTAGCCTTGTCGGCACTGAACTCCAGGGAGCCAAAGGAGTTCAGCCACTGCAGCAGCCCCGAGATGGCCCCCTGCAAAAGCAGCTGTGCCAGGGCGGTGGCGAAGACGAGGGGCCACTTGGCTCCAGACGCGCTGCTCTTGCTAGTTCTACTCGGCGCGCTTGGCGCCTCGCACATGAACAATAGCACAAGCGCGGGCACCGCGCAGAAACTGACCAGGGTGTACTTTGCTGAGACGTCGGGCAACTGGGCCTCCAGGAACACCAATGGTAAGAGTGTGCTGGTCACTGTCGACGTGGCCCCGCAGTTTGAAAGCACGGGACCGACCGCCGCACCAGGAAAGGACCAGAACGCGGTAGTGATCACTGTCGCCACAAGGGCAGAGCCACAAAATCCGATCGCCAGAACGGCGAGGACCAATGCGTTCATGCCAACACTGGAAACCACTGGCACGACCGCCATGGACAGCGCGGAGAAGACAATGCAACCGCTCATGACCACCTTGATCGGCAAGAGGTCGCAAAGCAACCCCCCCACCAAAGTGCCCGCCACCGCGCCGAAGCCGCGGCCCAGGTAGAGCGGAAACATACTAAGGGACCCGGCGGGCCCAACGAACCCGACGTTTGCGGCAAGGTCCTTGAGGGTGAGCCCGATGATCGTTATCGTGAGCGAAACGTAGCCTATCGAGGCGTAGCACGTCCATGCCCGGACCAACGACCGAACGCTCTTGCGGCGATGCAAAGAGGGCGCCATGGCAAGCCTCCACGGACCAAAACGTTGCGCGGCATGCCTTGACCCAAACGACACTCGAACAAACAAACACATCCAATCAAAACCCGCACTCGCCATCAACCATGACCGTGACACGAATCTACCGCTCCAAGATTGCCGGCATATGTTCACACCTACGCGCGTGAATGCATCCGTGCGTAGGTTTACTGTCATTTGCCTGTGTATGTATGTATGCATGTATGTATGTATGTATGTATGTATGTGTGTATGTATGTATGTATGTATGTATGTATGTATGTATGTATGTATGTATGTATGTATGTGTGTATACATATATACATACACATATCGATATGGAGACAGATAAACGACAATAGAAGCCAGCACCCCAGCAAAGCTTGCACTTGGCGGTCTTACTTGCCCGTTGAAGAGATGGCTGGGAACTTCAGGTTTTCGGCTGGTGCCCGTCCGTGGGCGCCTCACAGGCGCCCCGCGCTGGAGGGGCCTTTCGGAGTGTTGCCAGGTGCGCGCCCGTGGGCGCCTCGTGGGCGCCCCGCGCTGGGGGCGCATGCCGACAGCTCGCCCGATGCAGGCCCGTGGGCGCGCCCCGCGCTGGGGGAGTCTGCGAGGTTTCTCCCAGTTCCCGCCCGTGGGCGACTCGTGGTCCCCCCCGATAGCTCGCACCACGCG